GGGGACCGCTGGTCTAAATGACAAAGGACAGTTTGGATGGGTGAGATAAATTGTGTATTTTTGAAATAATATTTGACCCTAAAACAAGTTTAAGAAATGCTCCAGTTTTCCTGTAACTGTGTTAATAAACCTGCACACAAAAGGAAAAGGTGGGAGAGGGAGGTGATCCCCACACAGCAGCCTCACTTTGAGCTGACACGGATAGTTTAGCACCTGACTCCAAGAAAATGTAGAAATCACTCTGCTCATTGCTATTGCCCTTCAGTTCTTTGGTCTGTACTTTGAGGTGGCCCTTGATCGAACTTATATTAGATCACAGTTTTGTATTTGTTGTAGGTGGTCTAAATGTAACTGCATGGTTATATCAGATTGACAGGCACACAAAAAGTCCCAGTTAACAAAATTTAGGCACTATAAGCAAGTGTGAGGGACAGCATGTGAAATTTTCATTGTCCCCAAATGTAAATACAATTGCACATATACAGTGCTTAGCACGAGGAGCACAAACTCCCAGGCAGAGTCATAAAGAACTGTCTTTAACCAGAACACTGAGCAAGCAGAGCGCTGCATGTGTGTCACATCCACACTGTAAGAAGCACCCTGTGTTAGTACTTTCCTAGTCTCCTTCCTCCTCCAAGATGACGTTGCAAATGGGCAAAAAACGATGGGCTGAACTGGTTTCCACAATTCAGTGTTTCCTAACAGCGTGTTGTGTGAAATTCTTTAGAAAGTAGATGCTACTTATATATACTAAAAGTAGAACAGAGCACAATATATCCTGTTTCTAATAGCAAAGTGGTTGTATGTGTCCCACCTGCAGGCCCGAATCACTACTCGCTTGCAGCAGTACAGGGCAAAAGCTGAGCTGTCCAGAAACACTCGTCCTCAGGCATGGGTACCCCGGGAAAAACTGCCAAGACCTCTGACCTCTAGCGCCTCAGCTATCAGAAAGTTGATGAGGAAGGCTGAACTGATGGGCATCAGCACTGACATTTTCCCTGTGGACACATCTGATACCAGTGCCAGCATGGATGGTCGCAGGAAACACAAGCAGCCTGCTCTCACAGCAGACTTTGTCAACTACTACTTGGGTGAGGAAACTGCGTCATCTCTGCTCTACGCTCTTCTGTTGCTTTGTGTCAAGTGTTAATTATCATGCTGCTATTTCACTTTACCAGCTAAAGTTGGTAGGTCTCTGAGAACAGTGAGAAAATGTTTCGCAGCAATTCTTTTAGAAGCTCCTTGTTTGTTGTGAGTGAAATTGATAATAAAGAAGAAAACACTGAGATTAGAAAACTGCAAAGCACTGCAGTGCACAGTTTAGGGGAAATTTGAACGTTTCTTGATGTCATGAGCAGAAAGGTGTGCCGTTTGCGTGTACTCACTATACCTGCATGAGTTTGCTCGAGTTACTCAGATGTTCTCCAAAAGTCCTAAGACATGCATACTCAGTTAGATAGTGATTGT